TCCTTCAAGAACTGGCTGCAGAAAGTACAGCTGACAGTTCTGGCTGAGAGGACCTACCTGCCATTACTGCATTCACTGAAGGTCATGCTTCCCACCACTGGCTGCTTCCTTCCCACCACTGGCTGAGCACAGCGAGGGGTACTATTGCCAGCCCATTCTTTAATATGGGACTCTTTTGACAAGAAACTTTGGTTCCAGGACACCCCATCAACCTGGCTCAACCTTTCTCAGAACCGTAGGGCAGCTTGAGGCTCCTTCTCCTCAGTCCTTTCTTCCTGCTCTCCTGTCACAGGTGCCAAGTCTATAGTCCAGACAGAAGGCTCTCCTTGTATACTCCTGCTCCCACCTCTTTACACTTTCAGACAGTTTCCTGCCAATAAATCTCTTGCACATCTAATCCCATCTAGGTATTTGCTTTTTGAAGGACTCAAACTGATACCAAAGCTGACAGCAGTATAGGTGCAAAAGATAACTTGCTTCATCTTGCAAATCAAGTAAGTAAGGCTTATAATAGATCATATGGCTTAAAAGGAAGATGGCTGATCTCTTCTCAGCCTTAAGAAAAATATGGTGAAATACCCAAGATATCCAAGAAAGTGTAAACAATACAATGATCAGATGGCTTAACAAATGAACATCAGTTAAGAGTTGAAGTTTCTTGTGTATCCTACTCTGGCTGTATCTTCCTCCCACTCCAGATTTTGATCTTTATCATCCCTGTTCATTTCTTTACATTTTTACTACAATTATATGCATCTTACAATATATTTTTGTGTTTTTATTAATTATTATTATTTTTAAAGATTTTATTTATTCATGAGAGACAGAGAGACAGAGAGAGAGGCAGAGACACACAGGCAGAGGGAGAAGGAGGCCCCATGCAGGAAGCCTGACGTGGGACTTGATGCTGGGTCTCCAGGATAACACCCTGGGCTGAAGGTGGTGCTAAAGTGCTAAGCCACCAGGGCTGCCCTATTTTTGTGTTTTTAAAAACTAATTCAGTTGTTTTTTTTTTAAAGCAGGCTCCAAACACAGCATGGAGCTCAACATGGGATTTGAACCTGTGACCCTGAGATCAAGACATGAGCTGCAAGCAAGAGTTGGGTGCTGAACCAGTTGAGCCACCCAGGTCCCCCTAAAAATCTCTTTACTTAAAATTTCCTAAAATGTGGGTCATATATACTCATAATAGAGTTTACTAAACTACAATTTATTATTTTTTTTTAAATTTTTTTTTTAATTTTTTTTTTAATTTATTTATGATAGTCACAGAGAGAGAGAGAGAGAGGCAGAGACACAGGCAGAGGGAGAAGCAGGCTCCATGCACCGGGAGCCCGACGTGGGATTCGATCCCGGGTCTCCAGGATCGCGCCCTGGGCCAAAGGCAGGCGCTAAACCACTGCGCCACCCAGGGATCCCCTAAACTACAATTTAAAAAAAAAAACCAACATAAATCACACAAGAACTATTTATGATTTAGTGTGATTGAAGAAAAATTATTTAGCAGAAATGGATCAAAGTTACAATGCAGAGAAAAGGATGTTTTATTATCTTAAACCATAAATTATAATTCTTATAAAAGTTATATAAATGCAGACTGATCATCTTTAAACTCTCAAAAAGCTAAATAAAAATAAAGCACAGAAAATTGAATTGAGAAAGTTCTGACATAATTCTTCCACATGTTATGTATCATCAGGAAGAATCACTGCAATAGTTACCCAAAGTAGTATTAAAGGTAACAAAAGAGAGGTTTGGTCTTAAACATAAATTAAAATGTATAGTATATCTACAATAACAGGTCAAAGAGGAAGTATATCTGCAATTTCTATCGGTAATAAATAGTTTGCAAATACTGTATTCTTGAGTGAAATAAGAAAGCAGATTAGGGTTAAAATGTTGGACAGTCTTAACAACCAGGCCACCTTTCAGGACTATTTCTCATGGTACATAGTGCTCTACCTGTAACTAAACCGTGTGTTATTATTCTAGAACCAGTACTTTATTTGCAGAGTCCACATATCAATAGGTAACAAATGATTAGACATCAGGATTGGTAGGGATACCAAGTATTATTTCACAACTGCCACTATGTGTTTCTTCTTCTCTGGGACAATCGACACAGACCCGGGCTTGCTGTGTTTGAGACGATTCACCTCCCTAGAAATAAACAAAATATACAAAATATGAGCAAGTTTATGAGAAATCACCTTAACTAAAGAAAACTTTCTCAGAAAAATCAAAGTCTTTTCTTTCACTACAAGATACCTTATTGAAAAAAAAAGCTTCACAAGGAGATTGGGTAAAAAGTAGCTAGAAATTAACTTTTGTTATTTAATTGCTCCTTCTCTCATCAACCTAACAGTGTCCTTTTCCAAAGAGGAGAACACTCTACCGGGAAAATGGTGGTGGGAGCTCTGCTTTAATGCCTTTTTTTTTTTTAAATTAGAGACAGATAGAGAGAGGCAGAGACACAGGCAGAGGGAGAAGCAAGCTCCACGCACGGAGCCCGACGTGGTACTGGATCAGGCCCTGGGCTGAAGGTGGCGCTAAACCGCTGAGCCACCGGGGCTGCCCGGGAGCTCTGCTTTAGATCTGAACTTCTATGATGAAGCATATTAGAAACATTTTTATTCAAGAAATGGATGCTATGAATTCTTCGCATTCTTTAACTTGGAAAATATACCTCTTAATTCCAGCTTAATTACAAATCATCTTTTAAAACATTATTTTCAACAGTTTTTAAATTTTGAGATTGTATTTAAAGGACAACCACTAAAAATGAATTCCATCAAAATAAGAAAAAAACACCAGGAATGTTTTCTTATTTTGATGGAATTCATTTTTACTGGTTGTCCTTTAAATACAATCTCAAAAAAACAGGCAATGGAAATTCTCAGATAGTCACTGCTTCCCTTTCAGGAAGTATTCAAAAACATCTCTACTGTATAATGGCGCATAAACTATTCCCTTAAAAGGCAGGTTTTTGTTTATTTCCGGTGAGCTGAGAGAGGAAGTTAGAAAAAGGTACTGAGAGAGAATCAAATGTCCCAAATCATACTTTCGTCGGCGAGCTTCCTTCATGATGCGCTGTTCCTGGATCTGGCTGTAGATGGATTTTGGTAGGTGCCGGTGACGAGCAATGCGTTTTATGTGAGGATGATGTTGAAATTTCTCCTTCAACTTCTGGTTATAATCTTTGGCTGCTTTTTCTCGTGATGTAAGCTGGAAAAATGCATTTTTTTTATTTCAATGAATGGTTTGTTGTTTTTCTTCATGTAACAAAGATAGGAAGCACCCTTTCCCCCCAAAACTAAACCTCTAGGACATTAACCAAAATTGCCAATTCTGTGAGTCCTATCTCTGCAAACACTGAACTTCCTTTTAGACTGTATGCCTCCGATGTAGACAGATGCCACCAAGTTAAAATATCAGTGCTGAGGGAGTAGGGCTATGTGTACCACTGAATCGGACCTTCTTCTGGGCATAAATAACACAGAAAAAACCTAAATTAATCCCTCAACATTTTTCTGTAAAAATCACTACTGAACCAGAAAACAAAAAGCTTCAATTCTGTAATGACAAGGTTTTGCTTAACAAATTTAAGTGAAGGATGACATGATTTAGAGGAACTTACAATGATGACTTGAAACCTAGGCATAACATAATAATACTTACCAATCATTAAAACTAAAATAAAATTGTCTTTAATTACTGTTGATCATGTCCTGATTTTTCCTACTAGGGCTAAGTAGAAAATAACTCACACTTAACCTTTCCTTTTTAGACTCAGTATTTGTTGCTGATATAAACACTCATGTTTGATATGAAACACATCACGTTTGATGATTTAGGAAAACATCAAAAACGAAACAAAAACCAACCATAAACCTCAACCCAGAGGTATCCAGCCAATGGTAACATTTATTATATCTTCACTGAATCTTCTTTAGAGTCTGAAGCTCTCCGTATTATTTTTGAAGTTGGTGTTTTGCTGTTTTTGATATTAAAAGACCTCACAGGCACTTGTAGCCTTTGATGTGCCTGATTACTATTCCTTTAATAGAAGAAACAGGTATTCTCAGTTCTAGCCTTCCAGTCTCTACACCTTCTCTCCTTATCTCAAGGAAAACACAAAGAATCAAGAAGTTTTGAATATTATCAAACATATAAATTAACAAAGGCCTCTGAAGGTGTCTGTGACATGAAAAAAGTAAATCTTAATACAACCCTGTGTTTTGTTGCTAATTTACTTCTTTATCACAGCTATGCGTTTGATCAAAATACTTAAAATACTTCAAATAAATTCTTTACAATACAATGATACCTACTAAATTAGAAACTAGTTTAATGACAATGAAAGAAAATGGGTTCTCTTACCACACCCAATTTTTCAGAAGCATTAGCTTTCCAAAGACGAATGTTCATTTCATCAGATCCACACATAATATATTTGCTGTCAGAAGTCCATTTCACACAGATAACATGTTGCATTCTCTTTGTGTGATAGACCTCCCTACAGAAGAGGAATTAAAATTAGGATCTTGATGCAGATTTTATTTTTATTTATTAATTTTTAAAAAAGATTTTATTTATTTATTCATGAGAGACACACACAGAGAGAAACAGAGGGAGAAGCAGGCTCCATGCAAGGAGCCTGATGCAGGACTCAATCCTGGGACTCCAGGATCACGCCCTGGGCCAGAGGCAGGCGCTAAACCGCTGAGCCACCCAGGGATCCCCTTGATGCAGATTTTAACCATTGCCTATCAAGTATCAGGATAGCATTTCTGAGTCTGAAGAGAGTAGAAAGGGGAAATTAAAATTAATTTAACATATTTTACTGAACCAAACTAACAAGGTTCTATGCTAAGTCCTGGGGAGTTAAAAAAACATTCCTTGTTCTCAGAGAAATTACAATCCAGTAAGAAAAATAAATACAAAGTAAAACTAGATGCCCAGGAAAGTTCACAAAATTACTGAAGGCATATAGAATATGTTGAAGCTAGAGTAATTTTTTTAACAGTAAGAGATAGACTGTCTCCTCCCTCCAAATCAATTCAGGTCAACAATCACATTTTTCTTTTCATTTTACTGGAAAATAAAATAAAGGTAATGGCATTCAAAGAGCACAATTTGATATGTTGATCCTAAAGTCTGATTTTTGTTTTGGTCAAACTGTTTAAAAAGCTTACTTAATTAAAGTGAGAGTTGATGATTTACATGTGTGAACAGAAAGGGAGGGTTATAGAAGTGTCTGATGAGTTAAGAATCATTTAATAAATGGAGATGTAAAATATTATACCTATTTGCAAAGGCTGTGAAACATGCTAAGTGAATTCACAGAAGACACTATATTGGGAAGTGTTAAGAGCATTAAAAAACAAGTAAAAGACAAGGTCAGGAAAAATAAGGACTTTTGGAGAAATGAATTTTCCACATCTGGGTTAGACGATTCAAAATGTAGACTAGAGAGAAAGGAAACAAGCTCAGCACACTCTGCACATGAAAAGAAAATCCATATATAATGACCAGACCAAAAAGAACTCAGATTTTTTAAAAGATATGAGAGATACACTCACAAAACTAGCCTTTTACACTCTCTGATATGTTTTAAGTTCTTGAATGAACATGTAGAGAAACCCTAAAATAATTTATTTCTAAAAGGGGAAGGATGGGGTTAGAACAAACACTCTATTAAAATAAAAACTTGGGGACGCCTGGGTGGTTCAGTGGTTGAGCATCTGCCTTCAGCTCAGGTTGTGATCCCAGGGTCCTGGGATCGAGTCCCACATCAGGCTCCCCATTGGGAGCCTGTTTCTCCCTCTGCCTGTGTCTCTGCCTCTCTCTCTTTTTCTCTCTGTGTCTCTCATGAATAAATAAATAAAATCTATTTTAAAAAAAGTTTTAAAAAAATAACCTGTTCACGTATGAAACCAGTCAAATTCAATGGTTAGTTCCTTAAGAAAAAAAAACCAGATCCTCCTTAATGGTAAACTATGCAGGGTTCTTAACTTCTAGAGGTTTGTGCATGCTAAAGGTTTACAAAGCTCACTAAAAGTTACACTATTAGAAGATAAATACAGGGCAGCCCTGGTGGCTCAGTGGTTTAGTGCCTGCCTTCAGCCCAGGCCGTGATCCTGGAGACCCAGGATCAAGTCCCATGTCAGGCTCCCTGCATCTGCCTTCTCCCTCTGCCTGTGTCTCTGCCTCTCTCTCTCTCTCTCTCTCTCTGTCATGAATGAATAAATAAAATCTTTAAAAAAAAAAAGAAGATAAACACATTTTAAAAACTTAAACTCTTTACTGTACAAATTATTCCATGTGAATGCAAGTAATTTATCTGTTTAGTAAATACTGAATGAAATCCCAACAGAAGTCTAATTTCAAATACTGACTTACCTGTAATTTTTAATTATCTATTAAAAATTTACTTTAAAACTAAATTTTACCATTTTAAAATATTTCAAAGAATATTTAAAAAAATAAAGATTATTCAAAGCACTGGCTGTGCTATTTGATCTTTGCAATGAACTAGAGCAGACCACAGAACAAACTAGAACTACCTTTTAAGCAGATGAAGGCAAAGATCAAAGGAAGTACCACTTATATCTAAACCTAACAAGTGACAATATATCACTACTGTGATTACAAAATCTCTAAATGACAACAGGAGACCAGTCCCTGGAAATGGGGCATAAGAACTCCTTACTTCATACAACTTTGGAATTACTTGAGCTTTTGAAGATAGACCTATACTTGGATACCCATTATTGCTTTGTAATAATTCAGCTTGAACTCAGCTGCAGGGCCCTTGAGATCATAGGTGCCCAAACTTAATTCTCTTAACTCTTTCTTTGTTCTTTTCCCATTCTTTGTGTCTGCTTATGCATCATGTTAGAAAAGTACTTGGAAATTCTGATGCAAAGAAAATAATGGAGGGCCACATTCCCCTGATTCTTAGTATCTTCCAGGGATGTTAGAAGAAATGTAAACTATCAGCCCTGCTGTGAGCCTGACTGAATAATCCCAACAAACCATGACAGTTTGGAGAATATCAAGTAAGTTGTAAAAGAGGCCAACAAGCCATATGCAAACCAATACCAGGAGTTCTACATGGAGGATGGAGTGAAGATCAAAGTCCTCAGAATACTCCAGAATACTCCAGTCAGTATGCTGTTGATTCAAGCACTTTTTAAATCAGAAATACAACAATGATGACAATAATATGCTGATAACCAATGATACAAGAAGGGTTAGGATTCAGGATGACTCCCTCAAATTACAGGGCAGAAAGATGCAACTACCGCAAGTAAAAACACCAAAGAGTTACACAAGCAGGTTGGCTATGACAGAAAAGGTATGGATGAGTTGCTTGACTCTCAGAGGCACTGTTTGAAAGATCTTTTGTTCCTGAAACAGGGCTGGGATGAGGGTGAAGAAACTGAGGTGAAAACACAGGGCTGGCACCTGCAGGACCCTGACAAGAATGAGTAACTCCTTGAATTCTGCACCCAAGGTACCTCACTTAGATGCACCCTAGTTCTGACCCTGTTAGAAAAGAACAATGGTGAGTGAGAAGGACACGATATGCCTTTGAAAAATGAACATCACTCTTTCAAAAGACACAAAAAACTTCACCACTGTAGAAGCTAGGCTAGTTATCAATAAAAGTAGTGACCAAAATTCTCATCATTGCACTAAAATGGTGAGATTTCTCTAGCCTGTTGTAGTTATAATACCAAAGTGAATGTTCTCTAGACTTTTTTTTTTTTTTAAGTAAAGGAAGGATCCCAGAACAACTTTGCTACCACCAGTCTTTATGAATCTGGGTACACACTGCTTTACCAGCTCCGCATTGCTGTCCTCTAGCACAGATCATCACTTCCCACACTCATTACACATATTGTGTTCTTTCCTCTCCCAGATTCCATTCACTTTCTTTCCTTTCCCTTCCTACCTCCAATCATTCTGTTATCTTTCAAGAAGACCATCTTCTCCCCACTGAGCTTTAATTCCAATAAGCAAGAGTAGGACACTCAATCAAGTATATGCATTTATGTATATGCATGCATATATTGTGTATATATATTAATATGGTACTTTAGATTGAATATTTAGATTATTCTTTAAAAATTTTAATGTCAAAAAAATAAAATTTCAATGTCATTACTATCATCGTATTAAAATAGAGGTAATCATATCTTCAAGTGTGAGCAACACCACTATGATACTTTAATTATCATTTAAGTAATCTCTATATCCAACATGGACCTAAACAACTCATGACCCTGATATCAAGGGTTACATACTCTACCGAGTGAGTCAGCTGGATACCCTAATTATCATTATTTTTTATGGGGAAATTTTTTCCAACTTACTTGGTTTTGCTTTGAATGTGCTTCCAGGAACACATATAAAGCATTACTAATGAACAAAAAGAATGTGCATCGAAGTGCTCTGTAAACAAACCATAGTCCACTATATAAGCAGCTATTATGTTACACAGGAGTTAGGTTTTAAAGTCAATGCATAAAAGCTACCCTTAAAACCTTAAAATGCCAGTTTTTCTATAAACTAACTCAGTGCAGCAATATATAATACAGTATAGATATATAAATATATACTACGTTCAATAACATGTAATATGTCATAAGGGGCCAAGCTGTATAAAATAACATGCAACCTAACATTTTAATTACACTCGATGTGTTTATAGAACAAGAACAAGAAACAAATGGAGTATAGGACAGCTGAGTAGGTCTCCCACCTAAGGTCATTCCAGGGCATATACCTACAAAGTGGAATGAAGGAAGAATGGTCTTGACAATTTAAACTTTTTTCTTTTTCTTTTTGCTTTAGTGTGTATAAGCTGAATTTGAATAAGAAAAAAACAAAGGTATTTTTTTTAAGATTTTTTTTTTAAATTTATTTATTCATAGAGACACAGAGAGAGAGAGAGAGAGTCAGAGACACAGGCAGAGGGAGAAGCAGGCACCAAGCAGAGAGCCTGACGTGGGACTTGATCCCGGGTCTCTAGGATCACACCCTAGGCTGCAGGCAGTGCTAAACCACTGCGCCAGCGGGGCTGCCCAACAAAGGTATTGTTATTAATTGCTCTTAACTATGAGGGAAAACTTCTCTAAGCTCTTAAGAAATTTTAAAAAATTTAAAGTTTATTATATTTTAAAGCAATTAAAATACTATATATTATCATGATGAAAATATGTCCTTATACATTTGCTCAAACCCACAGGATGTTCACATAAGAGTGAATTATGGATTTAAGGTGATTAAGAGGGATCCCTGGGTGGCGCAGCGGTTTGGCGCCTGCCTTTGGCCCAGGGCGCGATTCTGGAGACCCCGGATCGAATCCCACGTCGGGCTCCCGGTGCATGGAGCCTGCTTCTCCCTCTGCCTATGTCTCTGCCTCTTTCTCTCTCTCTCTCTCTCTCTGTGTGACTATCATAAAATAAATAAAAATTAAAAAAAAAAAAAGGTGATTAAGATGTGTCAATGTAGCTGCCTTCAGCTCAGGTCATGATCCCAGGGTCCCGGGACCAGGCCTCACAGGGAGCCTGCTTCTCCCTCTCCCTCTGTTGTACACCCCCTGCTTGTGCTCTCTTGTGCTCTAATAAATAAATAAAATCTTACCAGAAAACAAAAATCTCTGTACTTATCTCTCAATTTCATTGTAAACCTGTAAGTGCTCAAAAAAATTTCTTAAAAAAAGTGTACTATAAAACACTTAAAAACAATTCTGAAACAAAGGCTTTTGCCTTAAGGCAAACACTAAGATTTCATATCAAGAAATTATATAAAGTTAATATCCTACTCAGTGAAAGAAACTGTTTTGCCCATGGATGACACAGTGGAAGTTGGTATCTTAAGTAACAATACCTGGATGTGAGTTGCACCACATATACATAACCAAATTACCCTTCCAAAAAAGGTCAATGACACTCAAGACAAGAAAACAACAAACAAGAACAAATGGTTTATTGGTAGTCACATACCTGCTTCTACTTTTGTCCACAGGAAAGATACGAATAGATTTATCAAAACTAGCTGACACAAACTCTTTCCCAGTGGGAGAATAATCCACATCAAGCACCGCAGATACATGATCCATATGTACCATTACGGGAGTGTCCAGTGCACGCATATCAAAAGTATATAAGCTGTAAAAGAATTTTTAATTATTCCAGACAAATTTCTATAAAGAAGCATGTGTAGTACACTAAGAGACACTGGGAAAATGTAAATCTTTAAATAAATAATGCATAACTAAATATATAGCTTTTTCACATAGCAGCTAAGGGACAGGGAAAATATTACCAGTTTTTGTTGTTCCTTAAGATTATACTTATATACTCCCATCCTCATAAACATAAATCTCATTGTAGAAAATGTGAAACTTTCAAAGAAGTACAGAGCCCAAAACTTATCTTTAATTCCACCATCCAGAGAACATCAGTGCAGTGTAATTACTTATCTTTTCACTATGTTGATACATACATACTTTTAACAAAATTGGTAATACTGTATTAAAGCTTTGTATTCTGACATTTCAGGTTGTATAAATGAGTTGAAATAGCTTATAAATTATTTTAAAATTTATTTAAATACATTTATTTATAATTAACAAAAAATTTCCAAATTTCAATATTAAATAATTCTTAAATTCCAGTATTTGAATTTTGAAATTCAATCTTTTTTTTTTTTTTCTTTAAAAATTTAATTTATCTATTCGTGAGAGACAGAGAGAGAGAGACATAGGCAGAGGAAGAAACAGGCTCCTCACGGGGAGCCCGATGCAGACTTGATCCTGGAACCCCAGGATCACGCCCTGAGCCAAAGACAGACGCTCAACTGCTGAGCCACCCAGGCGTCCCTGAAATTCAATCTTTAACTGAACAGGACAGATTCAATAAAATTTGAACAAATTCCTATAATTAAATTACTAAGTCCAAAAGCATGAGCACTTTTAAGGATTTTTTTAAAGATTTTATTTATTTATTCATGAGAGACACAGAGAGAGGCAGAGACAGAGGAAGAAACAGGCTCTCACAGGGAGCCCAATGTGGGACTTGATCCTGGAACCTCAGGATCACGCCCTGAGCCAAAGACAGATGCTTAACTGCTGAGCTACCGAGGCGTCTCAGTACTTTTAAAAAGGTTTTTAAATTGACAAGTCATTTCCAACAAAGTTCCACTCCTGTCAGTGATATATAAGAGTGACTACGACTTTTTATACTAAGGGGTGACTGGGTGGCTCAGTTGGTTAAGCGTATGCCTTCAGCTCCAGTCATGGTCCCAGGGTCCTAGGATCGAGCCCTGCACTGGGCTCCTTGCTCAATGGGAAACCTGCTTCTCTCTCTGCCTGCTGCTCCTCCACTGCTTGTGCTGTCAAATAAATAAAATCTTTAAAAAAAAAAGACAAAGGGTGTACTAAAATCAGAAAACTATGTTATACCACATACAAATGATATTGTATATATATTCTATATACAGTGCATGTATATGTTGTAGTTTATATATATATATATATGCACATATATAACAAAACAATTATACAAATAAAATAAAACTACTTATAAAAATAGGCAGCAAACAGGATTTGGTCCATGTGTTGTAGTTTACTGTCCCTGGTCTATATCACTTTGAGAATATTTTTCTAAGAAGCTCTTCTCCAATTTGGGAAATATATTTATTTTAGCAAAAAAAGTGACAATTTTCCACCTTATATTTGAAGGACTACTACTGAGGAAAACATATTAGTAAGATTTATACAACTGAGACACTTCACATAGAAATAAATATGTTTTAAAAAGAAGAAAACTTACTTGTAATCTTCATTTGCTGCAGTAAAAATGAAAGCTTCCATAGGGTTCCAACATATTGTATTTGTTCTCATATCTAAGATGACCTGAGAAAGGAAGAATACACTAACCCATTACCATGAAATCAATTCCCTCTCAAATGGATAAGTCTCCCACTTCATTTCCTTTCCTTTTTTAACATTGATTTAAGCAAATATTTAGTAAACACTTATTGTGTGCATGGTACTCAGCTAGGTGCAACAAGAAAAGAAATCAATCAGTAATTGTTTCCAGAGTACACAGGCTAAGTAAGTAGTAAATACTGAAAAATATAAAAATGCTTAATAAATGGTTCCTCAACCTGAATAACTTATAGTTTAGTCTGAAAAAATGAAATCTATGTAGGAAAAGGAAAAATATAAAGAAACCGTAAATGATTAAGTATCAAATAGGGGGCAAAACTAATAGTGATCTTAGGGTTAGAGGGGAGAAGAAAGGTTTTAAAAAGACAAGAATAATCTGAGCTGACCTGTGAGGGGCCAGTACGTTACAGTGTTTTTCAGCAAGAATGCTTCTGGCATTGTAAGCAGGATAATCTTCTGCTATAACTGCCCACTGTAGATGGTTAGCCTTTCAGGCACATGTCCACTAAAGGAGAATCTCTAAAATCCCCTCCCCTATGTTTCTAAAACTACACTTCCCATTGGGAACTAGTAAGTATAGGAGAGAAAAGATAGAAGGAACAATGATAGTCTCATATATAGAATAAAGAAAAAACAGAAAATAGCATTTCTGCCTCCATTAGGATGACCTGCCTGTGACAAACGCTATTTAAATGCTGTCTTACTGACTGAAACAAATAAATCAACGGAATGCAAATTGGGACCAGATGTGGCGGGCCTTCAAAGCCAGGCCATAGTTCTTTTCTTCAACTAAAAATAATGGAACATCATTAAAAACAGAAGATGGAAGGGCAGAGGGGGAGGAAACTACTAATTAAACTAGATTCCATCTTAGCATTCTGCTAAATGGTAAAATACCATGTTTTATTCTTACCAGTGTGCCAGAAAGTAATTATTAATATTTTACAGCAGAAACACAGATTAAGTTACCTGCTTAAGATCTAACACCCAAGTTCATACAAGATCTGCTCACTAGACCATATGAATGAGTGAAGTGATTAAAGTCTACTTTGGAAAGATTATCATTTTTATGTAGTTCAAACTTCAATGAATATACTTTACTTCTAATATTTCTGAATTTATTACATGTAGTAAAAATGGTTTAGGAACAATCAAAACATTAAAACACATGTGGGCTATCACAATGGACTCATAGCACATGAATGGTGTCCAGGCCCTTCTGCACTCAGAGTTCAAGCACTTGAAATCAACTTTATACCCTTCCACTTATCATGGCACTCCTCTTTACTGACAACATGCGTGTCCCTCTTGAGAGTCAGCTTAAGGTTGTGTCAGCTTCAGTCTAAGTCCTGGAATGACTGCCTGAAAACTGCTGGGAAATCTGTCCCCTTGAACAAGGTAGTGCTTATCTAAACAAAATGTCAGCTAGTATCCATCAGTGTGTAATTAAACAAATAAAGCTGGTTATGTGAATTCATTATAAAACATTCTGGAACAGAATACTGTATGTGTCATGATAACCATGGGGTGTGAAGTAATGGGATGCAATACTTAAGAATTCTGAACTCAGTAAGTACCAATTTAATGCCTAAAATTTACTAGCATTATGGAAGATACAAAGTTAACTAGGATACAGTACCTAGTAAAAATTTAAGGGTCTCGAAAAAGCAAAAGGGAGCTGAAGAATGCCATTATAATTACTTTGGCTTCTAAAAACAAGCCTATGAAAACAATTTTTAATTCTGAAAAAAACATTTGCTCCATATTTTGTCACTCGTTGTACAAAGAAAACAAATTGAAACTCACCTTTTTCAGGGGAGTAGCTTGCCTCATATCATATAGTACTATATTTCTGTCAGAAGCACAACTTCCCAAGAGAAATGTCTAAAAATAACAATCACCAGTTAAAAGCCAGGCTTGGCAACAAACCACGTCCATTCAAAGAACAAATGATTCAATTATCTTTAATGTTTATGTTTAAGATACAAAGTTATAATATTAAAGTCCTTTTTTTAAAAAAAAGATTTATTTTTTATTTTTATTTTTTTATTAATGAGAGACACAGAGAAAGAAGCAGAGACATAGGCAGAGGGAGAAGCAGGCTCCCTGTGGAAGCCTGATGTAGAACTCTATCCCAGGACCCCAGGATATTGACTTGAGCCACAGGTAGAAGCTTAACCACTGAGCCACCCAAGCGTCCCTTAAAGTCTGTTTTTAAGAGAACAATGAATCAGTGATAATCTCAGCAACCCCAGTCAAGTATTTTCATTGCTAAATGCCCACAAGTGTATTTTATTTTTATTTTTAAATTTTTTTTTAATTTTTTTTTTATTATTTATTTATGATAGTCACACAGAGAGAGAGAGAGAGAGAGGCAGAGACACAGGCAGAGGGAGAAGCAGGCTCCATGCACCAGGAGCCCGACGTGGGATTCGATCCCGGGTCTCCAGGATCGCGCCCTGGGCCAAAGGCAGGCGCCAAACCGCTGCGCCACCCAGGGATCCCTAAATTTTTTTTTTGTTTTAAAGATTTTATTTATTTATTCATGAAAGACACAGAGAGAGAAAGGCACAGAGACAGGCTGAGGGAGAAGCAGGCTCCACGCAGGGAGCCTGACACAAGACTCGATCCTGGGACCCCAGAATTACACCCTGGGCCAAAGGCAGGCGCTAAACCCTGGCTGCCCCCCACAAGTGTATTTTACATGACAATGATGGAAGTGTTCAGATAATTGTGTTCTTAAACCTATTCCCTATTTTTCAGTATTACCAATAACACTTCAATAAACATTTTCATAAATTCAACTCTTTTTCTTTTTAATATTTTATTTATTTATTCATGAGAGACACAGGGAGAGAGAGGCAGAGACACAGGCAGAGGGAGAAGCAGGCTCCATGCATGGAGCCCGACATGGGACTTGATCCTGGGTCTTCAGGATCACGCCCTGGGCTGAAGGCGGCGCTAAATCGCTGAGCCACCTGGGCTGCCCAACTCTTCTTTTTCTATGGATAAAATTTCAGTAGTGGATTACTGAGTCAAAAGTATGAACAATTTTATGGCTTTTGATATTTAGGAGTAATGGTTTTCCAAAGAGCTGAATCGATATACACTAGTGGAAATATGTCAATTTTACTGCAACTGGGAAGCATTAAGTTGTGGCATTAAAGACTTCTTATCGATATAGCAATATTTCCTAAACATATAAACTATTGCTTTGTAGTAAACATTTCCTCATGTTCATTAACTCTGTATAAACTAAGCCTATTCTTTGCCCACCTTTTTAATTGCTGCATGTATAAACTAATCTTCAAAGTTACCATGAGATCATCATGTTAGATGGTATAACATCCTGGAACGTAAGTTTTACCCTCTCAGAGACCCAAGTTGATAAAAAGGGTAAAAGATTAAGTCAAAGTAGCAGGGTATAAAATTGTTTGTATGGAACATGGGGTGCAGTAGTTTGATGGGAGTTGGCCCTGTGCCAACTGTGATGGTCAGAGAACATCCTTTCTGCCCCCAACACAAGTATTTAATTTATTTTAAGTCAGTTATAGTGTCCAAGAGGTTGATATTACTAACCCTTGACTTCACATGAGAACAAGCCCTCTACCTACCAGCAGAGCCTGAGTTCCACCATGCCTCCTCACTCATGGTTCCTGACACACACAACTCCTGGCTTCAGCCTATCTCCTGCAAGTGCAGGAAGAAGAGTTCTCTACTACAGAGCTGTATGGCCAGCTAACTCCTACAGTCAGTGTGTACGCAGTTCAAATAAAACATCATAAAGCTAATGCTACATTCATGAGCTCTTCTCAGTCCTTTCCAAAACCTTCTTGTTAAAATCACTTCCTCTGAGACTGTCTCCTAGTTAGTGACTCCTCTCAATCTTTCTTGGTTTTTCATTATGCCACCGCAAGGTCTGACTAGATTCCATTTCTAAAAATAGACTTTATAATCTGAGCAAAGCAAAAAATTCTACCTAGACTGAAAAGCCAATTTTTACACTATAAAATGTGGCGATGCTCAGCATAAAACTTTTGGCTTTATCAAAATTCTATGCTTCAATATTTTATCAGAAAATTAATTATTAATGATTAGAGGAGACAAATATACTCCATTTATTCACAGCAGCATGCCCTTCCCATTAAGTTTAATATAGGATAAGGGACACACACACCATTTACTTTCACCACTCAGTTCATAAGGGTAATAAAAAAAAAAACCCACACAGATGAATAAATATAATTGTTATACAGGCAGGTTTGAAAAACATGGTCACTAGGTCATCACTAATAACTAATTATGATTTTGGAGTTAACCATCAACTCTTCTCACACAGGTGTTCACCAAAATAGAGAAGCAAGATACTGTTTATCCCTCAGAAAAGTAGAAATCAATATCTCTCTGTTCTGTTTAATTTTTTAATAGTAATAACATCCTACTAAATTTGGGTAGCATCTTTAAAAAATATTCACATAATTTATCATGTTTTACCTCATGACAAACCTACAAAAGTACACAGGAAGAGAAAATTACTCTCATTTTAAAAATAAAGATGCAAACACAGAGAACTATGACTTGTATAAGGTCAATGCCAAGGTATACTGGCAGAAAGTACAGTTCCAGTTTAGCTCCACACCAAGTAGGACACAAAATGTTCCTACAAATTGCCTGTGTTTGTAGCCTGCTTCTGCCTACGGTCACCTTGGCCTGGCTCTGCAAAGCTGGCTTGCCCCCTCATGCCATATCTCACTTCTACAACCAAAAGGCGATGGAGGAGAGAGTAAGGAAGATACAGTACAGAGAGATACTCTAGATCAGGGGTCAGCAAACATTTTCTGTGAAGGACCAAAGAGTAAATATTTTAGACTTTGTGAGCCATTCTGCTATCATAGTACAAAGACAGCTACAAACAATATATCAACAAAAGGGCATGGCTGTGATCTAGTAAAAATTTATACAGGCAATGGGCTCACAAACCACAATTTGCCACCTCCTGCTCTAAACTTGTAACCCCTCCCACAGGTGTGCAGGTGGTTATGTGTTGAGGGTAGGAAGAGTGTCCTCGGACCATGTGACTTCTCAGTAGCACTACAAGGCCAAAGTCACATCAAACTATTACACCCCATGTTCCAATACTCCATGCAAACAATTTTATACCTTGCTACTTTGACTTACCTTTTTGTCCCTTTTACCAGCTCAGGTCTCTGAGAGTATAAAACTTACATTTCAGGGTATTCTCTTATACTATCTAACATGATAATCTCTTGATAACTTTGAAGATTATACATGCAGCAATTTCCTTTTCTTCCTTCTGGAAAAAGCATCTCTACTGAGTCTTTTGGACAATGAATTCACCTATTGTTATGTATTCAGAAATAGCTCAGGGAAAGGTCTTAAGTCCAAGGGCTAGCTTAGCCTTTAGGGCAGCCTCCTTTCCTAAATTCAGAATATAGAGTTTAACCTCCAACTCTTCCCTTAGACCTTGAAGGTCTTAGAAATCACCATATTAGACTTCTGAGCAAAGAAAAATATAATTATCGTTATGCAGTATAGTAGCAAACATACATATTATAAATCATTAGAGCCTTTATCACTTACAAATAATTAGAGAAAACAATGCTCAATGCCTCTTCTGACCTTGAAGAGAGTTAAGAAATGAGTATTTTCCAAAAAATACCATGATGTACTCTATGGAACATGAGCATTGAAGGCATGAGTAAAACTGAAGTTTCACAGTACACTATTTGCTTGAATTCTACTCCTATGAGCACATGCACACACCTTCCTCTAATGGTGCATAACACTAGTATCTGGAACTAAACATGGGCAAATACACTGAGATCTGACCAAAGGTGTAACAACTCAGATATAATCTATAAAACTAACCAGATGCCAAAAGCTCATTAACATTTAAATGAAATTCTTTATCATACGCTTAAAAGTTTCCTAAGCAGAGCAGAAATTATTAAATAAACAGTAAACAGAAGTATTTCAAAAAGCAGCATTACCTCAATTGGATTAAATTTAACACTACTTATACTGTCGAATCCCCAGGTCATTGAACATATAGGACTTGTTCTTTGCTCATCCCAAATGTCTACTTGCTGTCCACATGTGGCAAAAACAGCTTCTTTCCAGTGATGATCAATTCCTGTATACACTGTCTTTAAGAGCAAAAATGTTGTTATAAATGGGTCTACCATTAATATTTCAAATTTACGTATGTTAAATATATTTATCCACACTCATTTTTTATTCCTTTTTTAAAAAAACATTTTAATTATCTATTCATGGGAGACACACAGAGAGAGAGAGAGAGAGGCAGAGACACAGGCAGAGGGAGAAGCAGGCTCCATGCAGGGAGCCCGACGTGGGACTCGATCCCAGGTCTCCAGGATGAGGCTCTGGGCTAAAGGTGACGCTAAACCGCTGAGCCACCCGGGCTGCCCTTATTTATTTATTCTTAAAGATTTTACTTATTTATTCATGAAAGACACACAGAGAGAGAAAGGCAGACACAGGCAGAGGGAGAAGCAGGCTCCATGTAGGGAGCCTGACGTGGGACTTGGTCCTGGGTCATGCCCTACGCTGAAGGCAGGCACCAAAACTGCTGAGCCACCCAGGGATCCCACATTGGCTGTATTTAATTAAGTTTGAATACATCACTGAAGTAATCCCTAAATCATCACTGGGTATTGAAGGATCTTGCAACCAATTAATGAAATGCAAAGGTAAGGTCTAAAACACTTACTTCCATATTTAACATATAAGGTACTGATTCCCAGGACAGAAACACAGAAACCAAAAACTGCATTAAAATTAAGGGGGAGAAATAAACCTAGCAATGGTGGATGCTAATACTGTTAAAATCAATAAAATATGATACATTTGGTATTATCCACTTAAAAGATGTGATTGATCTATTCAAGGCCAGATTAAAATCTGTCTTTAACCATGTGGTAAAAAAAGGTTTGCAAAGCAAATTAAAGGGAAATATATAGCCAATAATTTCGGCTTTTAAGAGCATCTGCAGGCTTTCAATTATTTTCTACTCATGAAGGCAAGTCTGACAAATTTTTCCACAGCAAGAATTAATTCCTATTACCTCAGATACAGGGGTAAGATGAAATATTGCAGTAACATTTGGAGTTCCTAGAGAAAAGACATTATTTTTAAAGATTTTATAAAACGTGGGTAGGATGTATGATCTTAAGCTATAACTAAACCATATCATCTGATTTGCAGAATAATGTTCTAAGAAATGTAAATGAGATTTATACAAAAAACATCGTAATACCTCTTCGTTGCCTCAGGGGTCCTTTCAAGTAAGAAATTCTGAGTTTTGTGTAAGATCTATGATAATATATATATATTTGTAAAGATTTTATTTATTTATTCATGTGAAACAGAGAGGGAGAGAGCAAGGCAGAGACAGAGGGCGAAATAGGCTCCCAGGACCCTGGGATCATGACCTAATCAGAAGGCAGATGCTTAACTGACTGAGCCATACAGGTTCTCCATCTATAATATAAATCAGAGAGAAGTTGAAGCGTTATTTTTCTTATAGATTTCCTCCCATGGACTTGCCACAGGAAATGTTTCATTGCATCCTCCAGCTAAACACAGAAACTGAACCCAATACAATGAACACCATAGACCCCTTCAAATTCTTTAACTGCAAAAGACCTTAAATGCATTAAATATTGCTTAAAATAGGTCAATTACTGCAGCCTGAGGTCTCACTTCTTCTTCTTCTTTTTTTTAAATTAAATTCTGGAAGAATTTTAACAAAGTATAGGTCAATTTATTTTGTACCTTTCCTAGTATTGTATGCAATGGTTCCTCCTCTTCTCCATAGCCTGGTCCATCCATTTTCCACTGCTTCACAGTTTTGTCATCACCAACCTCAAAACATTTATTATTAAAATGATAATGAACTGTTATAAACTATAAATCTGCTAACATATACATTAAACTATAAACTTCTCTAGTTTAAAAAATACACAACCCATATCCTCCTAGTACTGTGTTTATTGATGCATTTATGGCCTACCGTGTTATAGTAAATATTTGTGACAAATACACCGAGTACATAAAATTTAAAGTAAGACAGTGTGAGTAGAGAAAAAGGAGAGTGGAAACAAAGTTAGGTTATAAATATGGCAAAAAACTGCATACTCTAGTAAGGATGGCATTTCAAATTAGGGAGAAAAATGGATAATAATAAAATGGTATTATGATACCAAGTTAGTCATTTAAAAAGTTTGAGCCAATTTGATACCTGACATAAATATAAAATTCTGTATAATTTTAAATGTAAAAAATTAAAGGGAAGTCATTTTTATAATCTTGGCATGGGTAAAGTCCTTCTTCACATTGATGTAAGACTCCCAAAACTACTAAGTCAGTGGTTTTCAAATTGTGAAATGCAGACCTCTGAAGGATCCTGAGAATTTTTCAGGGATCCATGAAGTCAAAACTATTTTCATAATGTTGTAAAGACATCATTTGCCTTTTCACTGTGTTGACAGTTGCACAGATGGTGGTGATAAAGCCATGGTGGGGAGGACTGTTGGGACTTGAGCCCAAATCAAGGCAAGGAAACAAACAGTGGTAATTTAGACTTAGGCACGTGGTAGATCCGTTCAAGATATCGCTGAAATAAGGTGCAAAACAGAATGCAGAATATAACTTAATGTGGGGCCAAAAACATAAAATAATCATAATCGGGGTGTGAACAATTGTATATCTACACCAAACCACTAGTTTTAACTGAAAGTAGAAATACAGGATACATTAACTTTCTAGTTTTTTTACATTTATGTTATATATGATCTACATCCATTTTCTAAATAAAAATATTAACAAAGCTATATATTTATCTAATAGAGGAGTGTAAATTCAGCTTTCCTTATAGCAAATTCAAAAATGAAACCCTTCTTGCAAAACAAGTCATAGTGCCCATGATATTAGAACAGGTAAGTAATTAGGAGAAAGGTTTTGGTATCAAGGTCAGACAGGAATTTTTTTTGTTGAGGATATTAACAGAATCCTTAAAAACATCCTTCTAATAGGAAAAAGGTATTTAACAGGGCTATATTTTATTAGCAACCTGAATCTGAGCTACTGGCAACATATCAAAAACTCAATTTTGGAAATCTATCACTGAGAATTAGTAAGATGTAATTTAGGTACCAAGATCTTTGCTAGCCTTGACCCAATGGAATTTTAGTATTTATAGAAGACAGGATAAATTGTCATTGAGAATGCCCACCCCAAAGACTGCTTTTTCTTTCAAGTTTCTTATAGTGTCTGCAAGCTCAAGACTGAATTCCCTTATAATTGACTAAGCTCCCCTACACAGTCTATTGAGTCAAGGCAGATCACCAGTCCAGAGAAAAGTTTAATATTTTGTAGAAATGAGAGACCAAGCAATATGTGCCTGGCCAGAATTGCTTATCTTAAAGGTGAGTAAGCTGAATAAAGATATGCTGGTGCCACAAACTGGGATATAGTAGATATTATGAAAATTAGGTAATAAAGATTTATCTTTTGCAACATTGTATATTGAACATTTTTTGAACCTGAAATTCTGCCAACAAGTAGTTTTCATGTGTCTTATCTGAAGAAAAGTGAATACGAAATATTTTTGTCTTTATTCATTTTAAGCATTAAAAAAAAAAACAGCCAGTAATCCTCTGGCTGGGATAGTAAACTAATTAATATATCCAAAAGAATAACCAGTTGAAAGTGTAGTTATCATCAGTCTGCTCCAAATTCCACCCCAATTCCTTCTTCAACCTACTGGATACAGGATCATGAAGCCTGTATAAACCCCATTAGTGAAAAACACCTGAAATCTCTGCAAAGTAGCCTATTTTGGATTTTGACAGCAGAAGGAAATAAGGAGTTATTTTTTAATGGGCACATAGTTTCAGTTTGGAAAGATGAAAAAGTGGTGATAGTCACAAAATATTGTGAAAGTACTTAATGCCATTGAAACATACACTTAAAAATCTTCCAGAGTAAACCAAACTACCTACCAAACTACCTTTCTAGCCTTGCTTTGCATTAATCCATTTCTCAATGTCTTATAAAATATTAGTTTGATAACATGTTAAGCAACTATTTCTTTAAAAAAATCAAGAAGTATGAAGAAGACTGGAGTATATAAAGAAAACTAGGACTTTTCAAGGCTTTAAGAAGGTATTCAGGGTTGTGAAACTCTAAAAGGCTCTTGGAACAAATAAATGAATTCAGAAAACATTAGTTCAGCCTCATATAGGCTGGAAGGAGTTAATGACTTAATTGCATTATACTTACAGTAAAAAAAGAAGTCCCACAAAATCGAGTACATATTCCTCGTACAAAACCTTCATGTGCTTGTATTGTGCGGATACATTTTCGTTTAGTCAAATTCCAAATTCTAACCTATGATAAAGCATGTCAGGAAATTTTAGTAAAATATAAACATAAAATGTTCAGGCACAGGAGTACTACATTCCAAGAAAAATAAATTCACACTGAAAAAGCTATGAGTCACTCTACCAGACTGCTAAAAACAAAATCCTCTAGTTTAAAATACTGCAGTGCATATGGATAAGTATATCAACAAGCAGAAAATACAATCTGTTAAGTACTCTGTTGATTCTAGTTTAAAGTGTTTTAAAGCTTTCTTTTTTTGCCAGAGTGGAAATAAGTGTTTAATCATTAATAACATCCTTTGGGGGGGGGAATAAAAAAAACCCAACCTCACAAATACCTTTACTACTGTAAACAACATGCTTGAGCCTTCAGCTGCTACGTTTCTAATTTCTGAGGCTCAGATGAGAAACTACTGTAGTTTGTAATTCAAACAGAATTCATTCTTGAGAATTAATAGAAAACAGGACTTAGAAAAATGAAATCAAACAAATTAAAATCCACAGTAACACAAAACTAAAGAATACTTGTAACACAACTATTTTTATTCTAAAATAGCAATGTTTAGAATGACACTTGCCTCTCCATCACATGCCCCAGAAAGGACAGTAGCCAGGCTCTTTGGATGCTTTGCCAAGCAATTGACTCCATCTCGGTGACCATCCAGGGAAGCAAGAAATGGTTTTGCAAATACCCGTTCCAGTTTGGTAGCATTTAAAGCTCTTACGTACTCTCGTGGGACCTCAAAAGGATGTAAGGTAGGATCATAGTTTCTTGGAACTGAAATAAAAATGACTTCTCTTAATAAAATAATTCATTTTTAGTATTTCTTGTTATTTTTCCCCAGCTTAATTATTCAATTGGTTATTCAATAAGCCTTTGTTATATGCCTAGCACTGAAAAATACAAAAGTATTGTTTACTCAGAAACCTGTCCAGGGACGCCTGGGTGGCTCAGCAGTTGAGCATCTGCCTTCGGCTCAGGGCATGATCCTGGGATCCGGGATCAAGTCTCACATCGGGCTCCTTGCCTGCTTCTCCCTCTGTCTCTGCCTCTCTCTCTCTCTGTATATCTCATGAAAAAAAATAAATAAATAAAATAAAATCTTAAAAAAAAAAAAAAAAGAGGGATCCCTGGGTGGCGCAGTGGTTTGGCGCCTGCCTTTGGCCCAGGGCGCGATCCTGGAGACCCGGGATCAAGTCCCACGTCGGGCTCCCAGTGCATGGAGCCTGCTTCTCCCTCTGCCTGTGTCTCTGCCCCTCTCTCTCTCTCTCTCTCTCTCTGTGACTATCATAAATAAATAAAAATTTAAAAAAAAAATTTAATAAAAAAAATAAAAAGAAAAAAAGAAAAAAAGAGGGGATCCCTGGGTGGCGCAGCGGTTTGGCACCTGCCTTTGGCCCAGGGCGCGATCCTGGAGACCCGGGATCGAGTCCCACATCAGGCTCCCAGTGCATGGAGCCTGCTTCTCCCTCTGCCTATGTCTCTGCCTCTCTCTCTCTCTCTGTGTGTGACTATCATAAATAAATAAAAAATTAAAAATTAAAAAAAAAAAAAAAGAAAAAAAGAAAAAAAAGAAAAGAAAGAAACTGTTCCAAAACTTCCAGAAAAATCACGGAATGCATACATCTTGCAAAATTAGATCCTATATATAACCTTCGGCCTCTCCCTTTACATGTCTTACTACGTTCTTTAACTGGGTTGAAAAGCTTTCATAGGCAGGGCTTCCACTACATTCCTCACTTTACTCCTTAGGCCTAGCACAGTGCCTGATACAAAACAAATGTATAACAGATGTTTGCCCAGCTGAACTCTAAGCTCTTTCTGGGGCAGGGAACACTATCAATCCCCAGTGCTAATCACTGTACTGACAGGCATACAGTGTTGTGATTATGATTATAGTTACTATTTATTGAGCATTTCACACATTTGTTTACTTATTTAAAAAACAGCTTACCATGTGCCAGACACTGTTCCAAATACTGAATATTAACTCATTTAATCTCCACAGCACCCTATGGGTTAAATTTTATTACTATTTCTCATTTTATAGATAGGGAAAATGAGGCACAGGAAGGTAACTTGCCTATAAAGTTATGAAGTCACAATTCAAATCAAAGGAGTCTGACTTCAGAATCCATGTTATTCGCTATTATGCTATGCTGCCAAACATGTTGGCTCAGTTAACAGTTGTGCTTAGAAATAATTCTAAGTCCACAGGTCTAAAAAACCCTTAATGCTTAAAAGCAAATGCATTTTCTTACCCACATCTTCACTTGCTGTCTTTTTTCTGTGACTCCCTGTTAATGGTACTATATCCAACATTCAATCAAAATTTATAAGGAAATAACACCTGAACAAGAATCAAATAATCAAAAAAGGTAATAAATGGGGTGCCTGGCTCAGTTGGCTAAACAGCTGACTCTTGATTTCGCCTCAGGTCTTGATCTTGGGGTCCTGGTACTGAATCCCACAATGTGCTCTGGGCTCAGAGGGGAGTCTGCTTGAGATTCTCTCTCAAATAAATAAATCTTAAAAAAAAAAGTAACAAATGTCTTCCTTGATTTATGTTTTACGGAGCTACCATACTTCTGTTTTTGATTTTGCTATTAAAACTTCCATCAGGGGCGCCTGGGTGACTTAGTCAGCTAAACATCTGCCTTTAGTGCAGGTCATGATCTAAGGGTCCTGGGATTGAGCCCTGTGGTGGGCTTCCTGCTCCACTGAGAGTCTGCTTCTCCCTCTCCCTCCGCCCCTCCCCCACTCATGTGCCACCCTGCACATACGGGCATTCCCTCTCTCAAAATCTTTTTAAAAAGATCATCAGAAATTGTTATTATTATTTTTAAAGATTTTATTTATGAATTAATGAGAGACACAGAGAGAGAGAGAGAGGCACAGACACAGGCAGAGGGAGAAGCAGGCTCCATGCAGGGAGCCCAATGTGGGACTCGATCCCGGGACCTCAGGATCACGCCCTGAGCCGAAGGCAGATGCTCAACAGCTGAGCCACCCAGGCCTTCCAGAAATTATAAAGAAATAGGAAGATATAGAAAATAAGATACTCCTTAATATCAGATGGCTAATAATTTCTTAACATGGAAGAGTGTACATCAGCCAGTCACTCATTCACTCCTTTGTTCAGATGTTTATAAAGCAACCACTTTATGTGCCAGGTGGGGTCTAGATACAGTGGATATAGAAATATGATTCTTCCCTTCTATGCAAGCTTAGTCTGATGGAAAAGATTGATAACCAAAATAATCATCATGAGACAACATGATACTCTAATGTTAGTACAAAAATGTGATCAGGGGATCCCTGGGTGGCTCACGGTTTAGCACCTGCCTTCGGCCCAGGGTGTGATCCTGGAGACCCGGGATCGAGTCCCACATCGGGCTCCCTGCATGGAGCCTGCTTCTCCCTCTGCCTGTGTCTCTGCCACTCTGTGTCTCTCATGAATAAATAAATAAAATCTTTAAAAAAAATGTGATCAAAGCACAGAAGAAGAGTGCTTTAAATGGGCTAAGGGATAGCTACAGGGGTTAAGTATGGAAAGATTATTGTTCAGAGGAAGGAGCTAAACTGAATAAGGGTGTGTGCCACAGAACATCTGAAACAGAGATGTCTAAAATGCACTCAGATCTCCAAGGGGAAAGGTAAGCTACTTGCAAGGAGTAGTGACTAGTGAAACTAGAGAGGAAGATGGGACCAGAGGTTCAAGGAGTAGGATGATGTCAAGTCCAAATGAGATAACCTAATTTGCATTTTAGAAACATTGCTATCTTGTTACTTAACCTGTAAACATCTTGTGAACAGAGACCACATATTTACCTCTCAGCGTTACTCACACAAACATGGATAACCTCTACTGCTCAAGCAAAATACAGAAATATCCACGGAGCCTCGTCTTGTATCCCCCTTACTCAAACTCCGAAGACATGGCCTTTATTTTATGCTTTATCTTTCTTTATTCCCGCTTTAAGGCCTCTGTTATTCTCTTCAGACATGATTAGTCCCTTGTCATTTTGACATTATGAGCTATAAAAGCTCATAGCAGTCAGGATGTTAATGGGGGGAACAGACCAGTAAATAAGACCAATAAATAAGAGTCATTAATTTCATTTTAGCCATTTCCCCATCAGACTTCCTTCCCCACGAGAGTTTAGAAAACTGATGACCTTAAGTTTCAACTTTTTCTCTTCCCACAGTTTGAAGTACGTAATTTTGAGAAGTCAAGTGGCCAAACGTTAGCGAGGTTTAAAGATGCCTAAATGTCAAATCCCTGAATTCACGCGCTTGGCTTCCAAGTTCCGCTTCTCAACAGCTGGAACCTAAGCAAAGTCGGAGAGCAGTGGCTGAAAGGGGGGAGGCAGAAGTATTCCAAGTATAACCCGCTTTCCCACTTACCGCTAGAAAAAAGCTCTTCAAAAAGGGCCTTGAAGAGAAGTCATCTGCTACCCAGTCCCGCAACGTCCTTACCTGCACAAAGTCTGCCTTGGTTAAAGGAACAGGGAAAGAACGAGACCGGGGCACCAGCGTTCCCTCAGCCTTGCTCCGTGGAAGCCGGGGCCAGACCCTGGGCTGGCGGACTCCCTAATAACTTGTCTCACCTCGTTGTAAGTCCAGCTTGGTTTCGCGGACATAGTTGTCCGGGTTCCGGCTCAGCATCTTCACCTTCATTTTGGCTGCTGGGCGTCCCCGACTCCCCAAACTTTACCTCCGAGATCGGGCGCCCCCCGCCACCGCAAGCACACGCCGCTTCCGCCTCTTCTAGACGACTTCCTGTCATGTGACTTCCGCGTTGTGGAAGTCCGCCGCCTCTGCAGGACCGCGCCGCGCTCCGTAGTTTTGGCCCGAAGCGGTTCTTCAAGCGGAGCGCTCGGGTCCGCGGCCCTCGGCCCGAAACGGCGGCAGCTGGGGGCGGGGCCTCGGCGGAGGCCGGCGCCCCGCCTCTCTCGCGCCCTCCTCCTGCGTGACGTGCTGCCCTGCCCCTCTCACGCCCGCGCGGCGCCGCGGTCTCTCGGCTTGGTTACCGCGTCCCGGCGCTGGCCCCGGAAGTAGGGTCGCCCCGCACGGTTTCTGCTCCTGGGCGGCGACGGTCGCTACGGTGGCGGCCACTGCATCTCGTACCGCCTCCGCGGCCCTGGGCGTGGTATCAGCGGGCCCTGGGACTATGACGGGCCAGGGCCAGTCGGCGGCGTCAGGGTCGTCGGCGTGGAGCTCGATATTCCGCCACGTCCGGTACGAGAACCTGGTGGCGGGCGTGAGCGGCGGGGTGCTGTCCAACCTCGCGCTGCACCCGCTCGACCTCGTGAAGATCCGCTTCGCCGGTAAGAGCCCGCTCCGACCCTACGGCCCTTCTTGCTGGTGCCGCGAACCGGGTCTTCAAGACGCCAGAGGAGGCCTGCTCCGCTCGTCTCGCATACTAGGAGGCGAGCGTTGAAGAAAATGCTGCTCATCCGGCCTCACCTGGAACTAGATTCGAGGAAGGGGGAGCCTGGGAAAGGGATCTGGCCGCCCTCGTCCCGGTTCCCCAAGCCTAAGAGATAGAGAAGAGGGATAGAAAAGGCTGAGAAAAGTTCGTGTTGGCGTGGGATGCGGGGCTCAACGCTGGATTTGTAAAGGGAGAAGGACACTGGCACCTTTTAGGGGTTAGCCGCCGCACGTGCTAATCGTTCACCCTTGGAGGTACTTTGAGACCTACGGTAGCCGCGTGTTTGGCAGCGGAGCTGAGGAAAAGTGCTTGGGGTCGGGGTAGGGCGTAATCCTCAGCGGGTGGTCGGGAATAGGTGTGCGGTAGGATTCAGAGTGTGATACCGGGTCCTATGAAGGAATAGGCAGCTAGAACCCAAATACTATTTTTTAGAATTTACGTTTATTAAGTGTAGTGAGTTAAGTGAAATTTACAAAGCACTTTATTTTTTTAAATATATATATTTTAAAGATTTTATGTATTTATTTCTGAGAATACACAGAGAGAGAAGCAGAGACACAGGCAGAGGGAGAAGCAGGCGCCATGCAAGGAGCCTGACGTGGGACTCGATCCCTGGTCTCCAGGATCAGGCCCTGGGCCGAAGGCGGCGCTAAACCGCTTGAGTCACCCGGGTTGCCCTACAAAGCACTTTAGAAGACGAATTCAACAGTAAATTCTGGAAAAGATAGTTTCAAAGAAGGTCTTGATAACTTTGCTGGGAAACTATTTTCTGGCATTCAGTTTTCCTTTTTTTTAATATATAGAAAGATTTTATTTATTTAATTGGCGGAGAGAGCACAAGCAGGGGGAACAGCAGGTGGGGGGGGGGTGGAGAAGCAGGCTTCTTGGATGCTGGGCTCCTCTGGGATCATGACTCCACGGGAAGGCAGGGCTTGACCAGCCGAGCCACCCAGGCACCCCTGATTTGGTTTTCTTGCTACCACGAGTTCTGCCTTGAGAGTTAGATCTGCAGAAGTGGTTCATCTTCAAGAGTCAGATTGATTCTACATACCTTAATATATATCGTCCTTCTAATATTTGTAGCCTGCTTGTATAGGATACAGAAGCTCCTAAACAAAGTTCTGTCCTCGAGGGACTTATGGTCTAATTGTAGACTTGAATATTAGTCACATAAAATCTAGACAACATAAAATCAAGGGCAAAATGGAATAAATCCAAATATCAAAATATGAGTAGAGATAGACTATCAAGAAAATTCTAGGTTGCTGATGGCTGTATGTATATCTGTAAGGTTCCATTGGATCTTGAGGTTCCCCAAAGAAGGACTGATATTTTGACAGCTGGAAGGAAGACAAGAAGCTATTCTATGGAAGAAAATCAGTGAAAACTATGTAGTATATACCTAGAAGAAAACCTAAAAAGGCATATAGTTTCCGTGGAGTTTGTGACACATGCACAAATAAAAAGTATGACAAGTAACATTGAACATTTACTAAGAGCAAGGCAATGAACTAAGAGTTTTACATGCATTATCTATCTCATTTACTACTCTGAACAACCCTGTGAATTTGTTATCTCCATCATACAAATGACAATAATAGAAGTTGACCAACTTGCTCTTGTAGCAATTTATAACAGCACAGATGTGGGATTTGAACCCAGGCAGTCTAATTCTGGAACCCTTTGGCTTTTTTTTTTTTTTTTTTTTTTTTTTTTTTGGCTCTTAACCACTCATCATTCTAGGAAACCATGGTATACAGTGCTTTGAACATGAAGAAAGGAATTTTGGATTTGGCTGCAGACACAGGCCTGTATGACTTGGTGCCTCTAATATTTTGTTTAGGAGAAGAAGTGACAGTTGAGATGATCATTGAGAAATAGTATTGGTTTGGTGACTTTAAGACAGTGCTGTGAAGCAGATTGTGCCTGAAGAAATTTTTGGTTCCTGAGAAGATTGGTAACCTTGATGAAATGGGGGAGAGTCTTAGGAGACCAGTGCAGCCAGAGTAATAGGTAAGATGTTTGAGACTGGATAGGAAGACAAAATTAAAAGATCTAGGAATCAAAGCAGGACTTAGTAATAACAAAGTGTGGCTGTGAAATGGTGATAGAGGAAAATTTAGGAAGATAAATAACTGAAATCAAAATAGTTGGCCTTCAGCATTAATGCTGTAGTTTCTATGCCTTCATAAACCTTAGGCCCTAGTGATGAAGTTGTAATTATCTAGCGGCAGGGATATTATTAGTCTTGGATGTACCATTAAACTAAACCTGGAATATTTCAGTGAGTTAGGTGCAAATTGGAACTCAAGTGTCCAGAATGGGAAAAAGATTAGAAATCACTTGTGAGAAATGACTGGAAGAACTAGTTTGACTTGAGGTGGATGGAGGGCAGGGACAGATAACTTAAGATATTTGAAGAACTGCCATGTGTGAAAGGGAGCTATCTTATTATGGGTTGATCTAAAGACCAGGTAGAGGCTGGATGGAAATGACAGGGAAGCAGATTGTGGCCTGTCCCAAGTGGTGGTGCTCAGAAATGAAACTGGTGCTATGTGGAAGTGGTTCAGGGCTGGATGACACAAGTTAGAAGATATCCCTGCATTGAATGGAAAGGTTGGTCAGATGAGGTGATTGTTGAGGACCCTTCTAACTTTAAGATACAATTTTAAATCCTTCAAGAATGATGAGAGAGAGAGGCACCTGGCTGGCTCAGTTGGAGGAGCAGGTGACTCTTGATCTTGGGGCCATAAGACTGATGAGAGAGAGACCCTCAACAAAGAATGAGGTGTAAACAGTAATTTTCTAAAATAATCTGGAAGCCTCATAATCTGTAAATTGAAGAACCAAAATGTAGACTCAAGTAACAAGAATAGCACATAGTCCAGTTTTGTGTATGTAGTGTAGTATTGCAAGACCCTGTAGTTTAAATAAACTAATACTTATTGAATGCTTGCTGTGTGCCATACATGATTTTAAGGACTGGGTATGTATTAATTCATTTAGCCCTTTGTAATTTTTAGAGTTAGGTTCTGTTTTTTTTTTTCACATTTTGTGGATGAGATAACTCAGCCACAGAGTAATCAAGTAACTGACTCAGGATCACGTAATTAAGTGTTGGAGTGAAGGGAGGCTGCAAAGGAAATTTAATAGCCAGAGGAGAAAGGGGAAAATGAAGACAGTATGGTGTAAAATTAGCCCAAAGAAGAGTGTTTAGGGGTGCCTGGGTGCCTCAGTCAGGTAAGCGTCTGCCTTCAGCTCAGGCCATGATCCAGTCCGGGGTCCTGGGATCCAGCCCCACATTGGGCTGCCTGCTCAGTGGGGAACCTGCTTCTCCCTCTCCCTCTGCTACCCCACCCCCCCGCTTGTGCACTCTGTGTCAAATAAATAAAATATTTCTTTTTCTTTTTCTTTTTTTTTAAGAGTGTTTAGGAAGTAGATAGTCTTAGGTGCTGCTAAATGGTTGGTGAGAAAGAGGGGACTCCCAGAGTGCACTGCAAGGTCTTCAGAGCATTTGCAGTAATGGGTGGAGACTCAAATCACATTGCAGGGGATTGGGAGGGAGGGACACACTGCACACCATCACAGGCTCTTGCCCTACATTCTAGCCTAATTTCCTACCATCCCTTCCTCCATCAGCTATATGCTTTATATCAAATCCCTAATGTTCTCCGAAATGGGGCCCGGCATTGTGACGTTTGCATGTTTTTTATACCAGCTGTTGTACTTCTCTAGAGACAAACCTTTCTTTCCTTTCCCAAAAGGCAAATTTCTTTCTTTCTTTTTTTTTTAAAGATTTTATTTATTCATTCATGAGAGACACAGAGAGAGAGGCAGAGACATAGGCAGAGGGAGAAGCAGGCTCCCTGCAGGGAGCTGGATGCGGGGATTTGATCCTGGGATGGTAGGATCACCAAAGGCAGACGCTCAACCTGAACCACCCAGGTGTCCCGCCAAAGACAAATTTCTTTTCTTTTCTTTTTTTTTTAATTTTGATTCTTTTTTTTTTTTAAAGATTTTATTTATTTTTTTATTCACAGACACAGAGAGAATGGGGCAGAGACCCAGACAGAGGGAGAAGCAGGCTCCACGCAGGGAGCCCAATGTGGGACTCGATCCCGGGTCTCCAGGATCACACCCCAGGCTGCAGGCGGCACCAAACCGCTGCACCACCGGGGCTGCCCCAAAGACAAATTTCTAATCAATAGTCAAGGCTCTACCCTAGCATCTTCTCTGTCGCGTTCCCTGTTACTCTATTGCATCTCCCCATTTCCTTCTATGCAGAACATTTGTTTCTTCTGTAATCCTTTAGCACTTCATTTACCATAGTGCTCATAACTTTGCAACATGATTGCTGGTGTTTTGTCTTGAAGATTATGGCTTCCTCGGGGTCAGGATTTGTGTCCTACTTATGTTTATAGTCTCCCTTTGCCTGGCAATGACAAGGAGTAAATAAATAGTTTTTAAATTTTTTAAATAAAATAATGTGTACAAATGAATATTTTTCAGATTTAAAGATTTGATCTTAACTATATAGTGTAGACAAGATTATAGTATAAGGGAAGTAGAGGGTATAGAATATTGTTGCCTGTTACTGAGATAATACTCTACTTCTATAATTAAGTGACTTGTCAAAACAATTTAAAAAAATCATTGGAAAAAAAAATCATTGGTTCATACCCATGAAAAGTAAAGATGGTGTTTCTGTAGTTTTGCTTTTTACCTCGAGAGAAATTGTGTTGTGAGCTTACTATTGAAAGGAAAACCGAAGGGTATTTAGAAAAAATCTATTAGAATAAGAGACTTGAAATTCAAGGGAAGCATCAGAAAGGTTATGAAATACACAGCAAAATATTTCTTGAGAGCCAGTTCCTCTGTTACTTGCTTTTAAACTTGTTATGTTGTATAAACTCCACAATAACCTGTAGGGTAGGTGACATCCCCATTTTAAAATGAGAATGCTAAAGCTCAGAATCTATCTTACAGGTTGTTGACATTTATCCCCATTTTAAAATAAGGATGCTAAAGCTCAGAAAAGTTAAGATCATGTAGCTAATTAGGGAAATTAGATCTCAAACCCAGGTCTTCTGACAAAGCCTCACGTACTTTAATCTCATTTCCTGATTGTTAGGTTAATGATGAAAGACATTGACTTTTCTCCCTTTTCCTGGCAATGGTAAACAGTGATTTTTTTTGCCAGGCTCCATTAGGTACGTGAAGTAGTGACAAACGGGACAGTGACCTGGGCATGTGTTTATATGGCTAGAGGATTATAATTTGTGTACACTTTTCTAGAGGGCAGTTTCAGTGTGTATTATAACCTTTGACCCATACTAATCCCCATTCTAATAGTTAATTCTAAGAACATAGAAATTTGTATGTTGTACAGAATATTCTTTAGAGACTTTAATAATAGCAAAAAAGATGAGAACAACTTATCAACTAGGGGTATGATTGTACAAATGATGAGATCTATGAAAGGGAAACCATATTTTTAAAAATTGTTTGGAAGTCTACTTAACAAATAACAAGTCTATAATAAAGAGGAATTTTCACAATATACTTTTGAGTGAAGAAAAAAGCAGTATACAACACTATATGTAGTAAAATACAAATAAAAACTAGATTATAAATCTGACATTCTTTCATTCCGTTTCCCTGTAAGAAACAAGGCACATTCAAAATAAGATAATTTGGGGCATGAGGAGATGCTTAAAAGGACTGATTACAAAGATAAGTGATTATAGCAAAACCACAAGGAAAATTGCAGTATTCTGCTAGAAGCAGTTTGGGCTGTTGCCACCTGCAGGGCCAGATGTCAAGACGTGAAGGTCATTAAGAGAGCGCCACCTTGAGAGGAGCTGGATTGTCAGTAGTAAAAAAGTTCAGCTTGCCTGAGGCATCCCCATAGGAAGGCAGGTGAAAGTAAAATACCTGCTTCCACTCTCTTCCATCCCTCTGACCTCTTGCCACACCTCCCCACTAGCCCAACTCAACTAGAAACTAGAAAAGGACAGGCTGCTAGGCAGAACACGGTAGAGAGGGATGGACGGTGGATCTGGAAAGGAAACACAGTATTCAGCAAATATATATTGAGAGCCTACAGTGTACAAAGCACTAAGAGGATGGCAGCCCTGGTGGCTCAGTGGTTTAGCACCGCCTTTGGCCCAGGGCGTGATCCTGGAGACCCGGGATCGAGTCCCGCTTTGGGCTCCCTGCATGGAGCCTGCTTCTCCCTCTGCCTGTGTCTCTGCCTCCCTCTCTCTCTCTCTCTCTCTCTCTCTCTCTCTCTCTCTCTGTCTCTCATGAATAAATGAATAAAATCTTAGGGAAAAAAGCACTAAGAGGAATAGAAATATTGCAGTGAAGAAGTAGTAGTTTCTGCCTTCCCGGAGTCTTAATATAATTATGTGGTGTCTATGTTTATATGTGATTCAGAGCTAGAACATTCCTCTCACCTAATTTTGTGCCTTTACTGCAGTGAGTGACGGATTGGAACTGAGACCAAAATATAAAGGAATTCTGCATTGCTTAACTACCATTTGGAAACTTGATGGACTGCGGGGACTTTACCAAGGAGTAACCCCAAACGTGTGGGGTGCAGGTTTATCCTGGGGACTCTACTTTTTCTTGTGAGTAGATCTGGGAAATTTTACAGTATTATTTTAAAGGAGTTTTTAATTTTAGTGATTTTTACATTTCAGTTGATGAGGCAAGAGGAATCATTTAATCAGTTTCTATGAATAGGAAGGGTCAGAAAGAGTACTTTCATTCTCTATCAACTATTATCAGAGGCATTTGGTCTGGAAGAAAGTTCTTAATAGGAAGAAAGTGAAAGGATGAGTTGGAGAAATGCTCTTACAGAAGCCACTTCTCTGAGGTGAATTCAGGAAGATGCCTTACTAAAATACTTCTGACTTGTAATGAAGTTGGAAAGCCAACAAGGACAGGTCCTGGGGTCCTCATAAGAACACACACCATGGGAGCTCCCTCTTGGGAACAATGAAAGCCAGTGCATGGCTAAAAGAGCTTGAGGCACATCCCTTCTTGCCTCTTATTTGACCTGCCCCATCATCTTCCTAGCTCGTTTGTTTCCTTCCTCCCTCACCTGTGAGGTATCCTCACTGTGTGAAATAACTGCTATTGCATGTCCATTGAAGAAGCACAGAAAGCGCCTGTGACAGACTGTGCATGAGTGTGCATGAGCAAAGCACTGCCGTGGAGGAACATATGCTGCCCTGGTATTTGAAACTGAATTCAGGAATGGGGAGGCTTGTCCTTGTCTTAATAGATGGTGTTTTTAGAAGAACATCAACACCTGCTGTATTTGCCTTTTTCTCTTTTGTGAAAAGATTTCACTTTATCTCCCATAATTTTTTTTAAAGATTTTATTTGTTTATTTATTCATTCATGAGAAACAGAGAGAGAGAGAGGCAAAGACACAGGCAGAGGGAGAAGCAGGCTCCATGCAGGGAGCCTGACATGGGACTCGACCCTGGGTCTCCAGGATCATGGCCTGGGCTGAAGGCAGCGCTAAACTGCTGAGCCACCCAGGCTGCCCTGTCTCCCATAATTTTATGGCAGTATCCAAACCACAGTCTTTTCTCATTTTTGGTGGGAGGCGGGGGGGCAGAAGGAGAGGGAAAATCTTAAGCAGGTTCCACATGCAGTGCAGAGCCTGACTTGCAACATGGTGGCTCTATCTCATGACCCTGAGATCATGACCTGAGCCAAAACCAAGAATTAGACACTGACACTGAGCCACCCAGGCGCCCCCAAACCACAATCTTCAAATATTTTTTAAGTGAATGCAAAACAAATTCAACCTTAATATTGTTTAAAAATGTATTTTTCCTCTTTTTAGTTCTAAGACCCACTTAGATCGGTGAAACTATAGGTATAAAGTTTATTCTATTACGGATTTTGAGTTGTGTAGGTTCTCTAAAGCGAATTTCTAAGAACATCCATATGAATGTAAGGTTTATGTGATGAGACTTTCTTGTAAAATAATAGTATTGGTAAAGTTTAGAAGGATTTATGTAGCTGAACTCTTATTCCAAGAGGAAAATGGAAATTGGAGTTAGAGAAAATAGGTTGATCCAACTCATCTGCTGAGAAACGTTGAGTAGCTGATTTTCTGCCAAATAAAGCTGAAATGTCAGTCTGCCACTCAAGTGTGGCTCAGTTTTTCCTGTCTTTCCCCACCACCCTTATTATAAACTTCGCTCATGCGCATCTGTTTCCTCACTGAAACTGTACCACCAGTGCCACCTCCCACACAAGCCTTCTGTGATCTCTGCCATAGCTTCTCAATCTCTTATGACACCACCTGTTTTGTCTTTATTAAGCTTACATGTGTGCTGCCCATGGTCCTTGTGAGTCTGCTGGGAAGGACCCACTGAGTGTTTTATCTAGCAGGATTGCCAAACACACTACTGAACATAGTGTTCAGCACTTCTTTGTTAGGGGCCCTCTTTTGTCCTTTTGCCTTGTCTGCCCAATTGCTGCACCACTGCTATAGCCCTCCCCCTCCCCGTTTTCCTGTTGTTTTTATTAACTGATTAAAATATTCTGCATATGTAGCGGTAGCCGTATACATTTGGGGGGAGGGATGGTAAACTCTTACAGTACACCATTTCCAGAAAATCCATTTTTGAAATTTCCTGAGGTTGCTGTATGCATGGACTTTTACTTTTGGGGTACTGCTGTTAAGTCACGCACATTTTAAAACAGACTTTACTGCTTTATGACACCTATTCAAATATTTATCAAACTGTTTATGTTTAATTCTTTCAGTTACAATGCCATCAAATCATATAAGACAGAAGGAAGAACGGAACGTTTAGAGGCAACAGAATACCTCATCTCCGCTGCTGAAGCTGGTAAGGCAGTATGTGACATCTAAAATAGCAACTTCCGGGATCCCTGGGTGGCGCAGTGGTTTGGCTTCTGCCTTTGGCCCAGGGCGCGATCCTGGAGACCCGGGATCGAATCCCACATCGGGCTCCCGGTGCATGGAGCCTGCTTCTCCCTCTGCCGCCTCTCTCTCTCTCTCTGTGACTATCATAAATAAATAAAAATTAAAAAATAAATAAATAAATAAATAAATAAATAAATAAATAAATAAAATAGCAACTTCCAACTTGATTTTCACTTTTTTGTTTCCTACCCCCCCCCCCATTGAACAGTAGCATTTATGGCAATAAGTATACTTATGTAACCAGTTACCACATGGAACTTCTTAGAAAGCAACTATTATTATTGGTTACTCTGGACAGGTTTCAAGAATTTTAATTATCACGAAGTAAAATTTAGAAAAGTTATGAATTCCTGCTAGTTGAAGATGATTTGGTGTGGTGTTTTCTTGAATTAAAGTGTAATTTTAGTTTTCACATTAGCTTAGTAGCCTTGCTTAATTGTGTCATGTATGTATAATATTCCAAAGAGAAAAGCAGAGCAGGACCCATAAATATTTATAACTCTTACTTTGACACTTTGTTTACTGATAGTTTTTGTCTTTAAAGAACCTGATCATTTTTGAATACCTAGCTGCTAGCACAGAGCTGAATTACGGTAGGACTTAATAAATGTTTGTTGAATAAAGGACTACTTAGGAAATTCAGCAAATGAGAAACTTAACCAGATTAAATTTTTTATATCTAAAATTATTATTTTCAAAAAATAAAATAAAATTATTATTTTCTGTAAAGAATATAAAATATTATTATGTAGTTCTTTAATTTTTGAGATGTCTTGACTACTTTGAATGGATTTGAGAATTGTGGTAAAGTTGGGGTAGATACATACATGCACAGGTAGAAATTATTGAGGTGTTGGATTCCTGATCCTTTTCCCCTGATTTTCAACCCCTCTGGGCTATACTCTTTCCTACTGAATATTTATGTCTCCTAACCAGAGTCAGCTTCCTAGGACTTCCATCTGTTCTCTACACCAAGCCTTATTGTTTAGGAGCCAGGACATCCTTGCTGTATTCATGCCTCAAGGGAAGTGTTTCACATGTCCATCCCCCTTTTAATTTACCTGCCACTAACCAAGGGAGGAACTTTTTATGTCCACCAAAGACTGTGGCTACTTTTTAAACTAAGACTTCCTCAGAGACTATATCTCACTGTTGTAGGTACAGCTGCTGAGCAACCCCATAGTTTATATTAATGGACTGTTCTTAATCTGGATTGTCATAAGTGACAAAGTACCTATATGCTAAGTAATCTTATTTAAATTTGATTTTAGGAGCCATGACCCTCTGCATTACAAACCCATTATGGGTAACAAAAACTCGCCTTATGTTACAGTATAATGGTGTTGTTAACTCCTCACAACGACAATATAAAGGAATGTTTGATACACTTCTGAAAATATATAAGTATGAAGGTGTGCGTGGATTGTATAAGGTAATGAATTATCAATATATTTTGAATAACCATTGTAACTTCCCTTGGCTCTGTTGTCTGAATTCTGAATGACCTGTAGTTGGTCCTAAAAAACCAGACTCAGGCAAGAAGCAACTTTATGAAAACCAAAGTCCTGGTTTATAATATGGAAATTGTGCTTTAATCTGTGTATCCTCATTACCTTAAGGTACATCATCATGACACTGGTGGGTGTGAGAAGGCCTAAAATTTTGTAACCGTTTCTCTAAGTCACACATCTAGGTCACCCATTCCTTACTCCCCTCTCTGGAAACTGTGGTCCTTCAGGAACTGGCTTAGTTTTTGTTTTTTGCTTTTTTTTTTTTTTTTTTAATTGTTCCCCTTTAGGGATTTATTCCTGGACTATTTGGAACATCACATGGTGCCCTTCAATTTATGGCGTATGAATTGTTGAAGTTGAAATACAACCAACATATCAACAGATTACCAGAAGCCCAGTTGGTAAGATGGTTCTTTAAAAAAAAAAAAAAAAAAAAAGATATCATTTACATTTATGGGCATTTAATAGATGGAAATTTTGTCACATTTACTTTAGTAATGTTGTTATGATGATGACTGCCACTAATTTAATTTATAGTTAAATATTTTATAGGCAAATGACGTATATGTTAAGAATAAAACCCCTTATTTGCACATAGCTTATGTTAATTTTTCACTTACAGCTCCACTTAAATGTTTTTCCTCTACGATGTTTACTTCTATAATTTTAAGGAAATCTTGTCTAAAGAAAAATGTTTGTGTTGTCATTTTAGAGCACAATAGAATATATATCTGTTGCAGCACTATCCAAAATATTTGCTGTAGCAGCAACGTACCCATATCAAGTTGTGAGAGCTCGTCTTCAGGATCAACACATGTTTTACAAGGGCGTATTGGATGTAATCACAAAGACATGGAGGTGAGAACATGTGTTATACCAAAATGGCTCTTAGGAGGTACCTTCCATATCTCAAACTGTGCAGTTGCCATTAGTTGTATAGCAAAGGCCAGAATGCTGTGGTGAAAACATGGCTGGTGGCCCCTGCTTTTCCATTTCTCATTTACTACGTATAGAACTACAGACTTAATCTCTGAGGCTTGATTCCTTCATTTGTAAAATTAGAAAATCTAGGCTAACAAGGTTGTCATAAAAATCAAATGATATTAGGGTGCCTGGGTGGCTCAGGCAGTTAAACATCTGACTCTTGGTTTTGGCTCAGGTCATGATCCCCAGGTTGTGAGATCAAGCCCTGCATCAGGCGCTACACTGGGCGTGGAGCCTGCTTGCAGTTCTCTCTCTCTCTCCTTCTCTCCTACCCCAGCCACTTGCTCGTACTCTCTCAAAAAAAACAAAAACAAAAAAACCTCTGTTTCAACAAATTAATATTCCAAAATTTAAGTGTCACAAGATAGTTGAATGGGATTGAATATACGAAGTCATAAAAACTCTAATTTAATATAATTAAACTGCTACTTGCACAATAACTTGCAATCACTTGTTGCCATGTATGGAAGAGATGCTCCCTCTTCAACTACTTAGAACTTACAAACTGTTATAGATAGACATCCTTAATTTCTCTGTATTTCTAAAAGGGTAAAGCAGAATGTTTAGGATGTTTACATTGAGTACAGTAATTATTTATTGTGAACCCAGGTGACAAGTTCCAAGGCCATATTCCCATTTTGGGCATTAAGGAAATAAAATTATTTTTGTGTGTGCTAGATTTAGGATCGTCTGGCATTTATGTAAGCTGTAAGATTTTTAATGCCTACATTAGATCAGTTCATGCTTCTATACGTTTGTACATTTAGAGACATTTGAAAGATAGTTGTCATCACAGCACTCTTCAGTTCTGGAGTGCCCCTACCCTCTCTTCTCTAGTCAGTCACAGAAGGAATGTGAGCTCCTACAAATGGCTCGTAAACTACATTTCAGCATGTCAAAAACATGGATGCAAATCACAGGGAGGCTTGAATGCTGGTTCCATGCCCTATGCCAATTAAAATTTTTGTATCTTCAGGCTAGCAATGTAGGAAATTAAGCATATATCTATTTTTCCCTCTAAAGGAAAGAAGGCATCGGTGGATTTTACAAAGGAATTGCTCCCAATTTGATTAGAGTGACACCAGCCTGCTGTATCACTTTTGTGGTATATGAGAACGTCTCACATTTTCTACTAGACCTTAGAGAAAAAAAAAAGTAAGCTAAAAGAAGTTAATTCCAATACATCTGCTTAAGCAGCAACTCTTCCTTTGTGTCTGAGATTTAAACATCAGAAGAAGACAGCACAGCAACATGGCTCACAATGAAAATTGATCTACAATCATTAGTAGTCAGAGAACTGCTAAGAACTTGCAATGTTTTTCTGCTTTTTGCCTTCCCTGTATGTGTGGGACTTGGCTACCTCTGCCAGAAATGGCTCCCATCAACACAGTAGTAAAACCGACATCAAGTGGAGAGTTTCACAAATTTCTGTATTTCACTGTTCAAGTAGGAGCTGATAACAGCATTTGCTAAATGGATTAGCTGAATATGCTGCTTTTTTCTAAACTCATTTGCCTGGATTGGATTTAGAATCAGTCTCGTGCAAAATAGCAAGTAATGGCTTCTGAAAAGAATTTTATCATTGCTGTTTCAAGGGTAAATTAAATTTTAAGGACTTTCTGGGCAAAGTGTTGCTTAAATCCAGACCAGTTTTGAATTGGGAAATTTTGGTGAGAAAAAAACCCTATATATAAATGTGCTTTAGTTTTCAATTCAGTTGGAATGTGCTCACTAGGAAATTTGAAAAGTGATATGCTTCTCTTAATTTGAAAAGTAACTGATATTCATTGTCATTCTGCAATTAATCTTTTCCCCTGGGGGCTCTTCCATAATTTAAAATATAATTGTGGATTCAGTGACTATTTTTTGACATAGATACTTAGTGTCTCTTAAACTTTTAAAATCTGAATTGGGAACCAGCTGTATCAGTCTTGGCTAACATATTTGGCTATAATCACTAACTGGCTATAAATCAGTAATAGATCACTTCATACAAATACTGTAATGATTGGGATCTGTTAGTTGAGAAACTGTGGGGAAATGAGTAACTTCCTAAGTCAGCCATCGGATATATGGGTCCAGATCTCAAATAAATGATTAATATACATTGGTTGCTCATATTCAGATGGAATTCTATTAATGGCCGTTATTGATTTTTACTTGAGTCATATAAATACCTATAAAAGACTGCCCCAAAAGGACACCAGAATTATATTTTTATTTATCATAAGCCTTTATGAATGCTGTTGCACTTCCATCTGTCTGTTGTAAATAAAAAACATTGTGGTTTTCAAAACCATTTTTAAATGGTTCTTTGAAAATAGGTCTATTTTTTTATATTTTGCAAATGGCATTATTTTAAAAATATGAAACAAGTATCTAATTGTATTTAAGTTATAACATGCACAGGAATACTTTATAAATTAAATGTGATGTATTTTTTCATACTTCTGGATTTACTGTAATTCATATGAAATCCTGATGTTGGTCTCTATATGGAAGACTGGCTACAGCTGCTGTTTCGAGTTTTAGAGGTAGTGCCATTGTTTGAATGCCTCCTGTGTACCCCCAAATTAATAAAACATAATTCCTGTCTTCTAAGAGCATACAAACTTGCAGAATTAAATAAATAAGCATTAAAGAGTAACAGTAACAAGACTAGTAACAAGACTAACAGGCAAGAAGATTTCTACAAAGCTCTGTAAGAGTCCTGAGAAAAGAGAACTCATTCCACTAAGTCAACAACAAATTCTGATGAGCTCTTGCTCTGTGCCATCACTGAAGATAGAGCAGGAAATAAGCCAGACAACATTCCTGCCCTCGGGGGATTTTCATTTTAGTGGGAGTGACAGAAAACAAATTGTGCATAATACAATCTCAGATATTAAATGCTATAAATAGAACTAAAGCAGAGTTGGAAATAGTGTTACTATCTTAGGATGCTTAGGGTCAGGAAAGATCTCTTTGAAGAGGTAGTATTTGAAACATTTTGAAAGAAGTGAGGAACAAGCTGCAATGAGATAGAGGAAACACATTCTAGGCAGAGAATATGAAGTACAAAGGCCCTGAGGCCGGAATTAATTTAGAGGAGATGGGTAAGGACAGAGTGGCCAGGGAGAGGAGGTTGGAGAAATGGCCCTTTAGTATGGTAGGAAAGAGTGCAGGATTCGCTTCAAATTTCAGCTTTCCTGTTTACTCTCTGGCCTCCAGCCAAATTTTCTCATATGTAAAATGTGTCTTAAGATTTATTCATTTGTGGATGAGGATGCTTGGACAAGTGATTATTGAGGGAGTGCTCTTAGGAGCATCTGTAATGGAGTTAAGAAAATGGGAAGAAGTTTTAGATGTTCACCTGCAGCCTGATCCTACAGGACACTCTGCAGTATGAATTGGACCACAGAGATTGTCCTGCCCTGAGGTGAGTGGCTGGGTTATTATGTTCTCACGTCAAGTGGTCACTGACCACCTGTTGTGGTTGGAAGGAGGGAAGGCTAGGTGGAGGTGACTGCTGTTAGCAGCTGGGTTATAGGTGTACCAGCCTTGTAAAAAGGGATTTGGTGGGTTACCAACAGCATCTGCAAATGAGGATATTAAAAGTATGTAGTTCATAAGACTGTTGATGAGATTAAATGGATCGATCCATCTAAAGTGCTTAGCACTGTCCCTGGGCCAGATCTTACAGGCCATGGTCAGGGGTTTAGATTGCGGGAGAGATCGTTCTAGTGATTGTATGAAGAAGCAGGATACAACAGGGTTACTAGTTAGGAAGCTTCCACAGATATCTAATCAAGAGCTGATGGTAGCATGGACCTGATTGATAGAGCTAGAGATGGTTTATAGCTTGGGGGGAACTAGAAGAGAGTTCATGGAAGGGAAACTTGAAGCTTGGCCTTGATGGTAGAGATTTCAAAGGGAACCATGAAAAAAAGTACAGGTGACATGTCTTGAACAATGTGTTGTCCATGTGGTAATGAAGAAATAGAAGAGAAAGCTGAAAGATTGGGACCAGAACATGAGAATGCTGAGTCTTACTAAATGTATTTGGGTTTTATTTGATGAGTAAAAGAGAAGTGAGAGTCATTAACAGAACAGAGAGACACGATTACATTTGGGGGTGGGTGACAGAAGCAGACCAATCAGATAAGACGAGCAAACTCAAAGGGACGGGGTTATCAACTGTGTAAATATTTCAGTAAGATGAAGATGGATGTCACTGATAAGTTTAAGCAGATTCAAATTCTAGAGGCCAAAGACAGATTGCAAGCAGCTAAGCAGGTGAGGCAAACAACAAGTATTCATTTCAGTCTAGGCTCTTTCTTGGATTTCAGCAGATAAAGGAAAGGCAGAGAGAGAACTTTAGCTTGAAAAAAGTACTGGGATCTGGGAAGGGGTGCAAGTTGGGGAGGCTGTCCGAGGGAAAACCAGAACACGATTATAAAAATGCTCAAAGATTAAGATCTAAGCCAAAACAAAACTTGCCGGAGCTTAGCCTCAGAGAACATATGTATGATATAACGTGAACCAAAATGATGTTGGGTACCATGCCTTGTGAAAAGAAGGTTATTCTGTTTCAGTATGTGCTTTTGTCCCAAGGGAGTTTTAAAAAGCCATGTTGTTTAAAGGCCATGCTAGAAAAGAATTAGTGACTAAAAAGTATGAGTCCAGGAGTCCTCAGAGCAAGGTCTCTCTTTTAAATATGGGCAGGTTACTGAACAAAAAAACCTCCAGACAGAGTATTATTACCACTTTAATAACAAGGCCTCTTTAGTGATTGTAAAATTACAGAAATAAAATACCTTGAAATGATTTATTTCACCTTTATTCCTTTCTAAACATGTATTATTTAACATGCAGGAGGTATGTGAAATTTTGGGTTATTTTGAGTGAAGTCTTCAATTTCTTTCCAAGTGAGGGAATAAGAAATAGACTCTGGAAGTACTTACTCATAGTGAATACCTGTTACTGGCTGCTTGGCATCTATTTCTCTTCTGAGATTAGTAGCTGGAATTTCTTTTCAGAACCTCCCTCCTTCCTCCAGTCTCGCACTTGTGGTTTAGATGGAATTGGCCTCACCTGCCCCAGAAGGGGCCCCTGCTTAACAGAGCCGATCTAAATGTGCCATCTCTGTTAGTAATGAATGTTTGGAATTGACACAGTTGCCTAAGCTGACCCAGTCAGAGTGACTCTTAAAAAGACTTTTTTTTTCTGTGTATCCTGATATAGATCCTCTCCTCGCTGTTTCACCAGTTAGGATTTGTGTAATTCACAGAGCTCCCTAAAACCAACCTAAATCATGTTATATGAGATTCTGGATCAATTCTGACCCCCAGCTCTATGTACCTCTATAGTTTTCAATTGAGTGAACCAATAACTTTATTTTTTAATCCACTCTCAGTTGGATCTTTCTGTTACTCGATACAACTGAAAGCTTCCCCAATGACACAGAATCTGTGATACAGACCCTAAAGTCCATGTGTCATTTTCCTATCAACTGTCATGATGTTGAACTCTTGTTGGTATGGAGATTGATGTTTACCTTTAGGAAAAAGGAGCACTTTGTGACCCTTCCGTATGTTGTATGGGTTCTTGAAAATGTTTTTACCTTTGCTGAAAAACATTAAGTTATTTAATATTTACCAAAAAATTAAAGAGCTTATTCAACTCACCATGAAAAGCTTCAAAGAGAAAAACTGACCAGTACACTCAGAAAAATAACTAAAATCTGCTGTGGGAGAAGTGTTGGATAATTTGAAAGTTGTCCCCAAAATATTTTCTGACATCAAATATTACAAAATTGTGTGTTTATATTAAATTTAAATTTCAGTTAGGTTGGGACACCTGGTGACTCAGTGTTTGAGCATCTGCCTTTGGCTCAGGTGGTGATCCCCCGGAGTCCTGGGATCGAGTCCCACATCTGGCTCCCTACAGGGAGCCTGCTTCTCCCTCTGCCTGTGTCTCTGCCTCTCTCTTTGTCTCTCATAAATAAATAGATAAAATATTTAAAATTAATTTCAGTATATGTTAATTGTGATGTTAGGCATGTTCTACTCAAGGCTGGCAAGTGATAAAACCAGTTTACACTCAACATGTCAAAAAGCAGCAAGATGCTTTTTGTTAAGTGATTCACATTAACTTCTTTCTCACCCAGGCTTTAAACTATTTTATAAATAGGAGGGCGCTTAGGTGGCTCAGTCATTTGAACAACTGACTCTTGATTTCAGCCCAGGTCATGATCTCAGGGTCCTGGGATTGAGCCAGTGGTAGGCTCCCAGCTTAGCGGGGAGTCTGCTTGTCTTCTTCTGTCCCTTCCCCTATTAGCAAGCTCGCTCTCTCTCAAATAAATAAATCCTTTAAAAAAAAAAACCTAACTCATTAACTGACAAGTGAAGCATGAAATATTCGTATAGTAGTAAGGCTGAAATTATATCTGTGTAAAAGAGGGCTTCCTTCCAAGCCTCAGAGTCATACAGAAATACCCATCCAGCCACAGAGAGCACTGGACCAAGACTCTTGGAGCCTGTCCCTGTAAAACACAGCAAGGAGATATGGGACTGAACTCATGCTGTGAGCAGCTTGTTCCCAAAGAGAGAGAGAAAGCACCACTCACGCTCACTTCCTTGTCCAATCAACTAATCACACATCAATCTAAGTCCAACCAGGGCATAGAACGCACAGCAGATTTAACCAGGGGAAGATTAAGGAATTGCTAAATTATGATAAATATATTACGGGAACTAAACAGTACCCTGAAGCTGAGAAAGAGTAGCCAAGGATGAATGAGCTTGGAAGAGTGTCCCCCTCTGGCATTCAGACCTCTTGGGACCATTGCAGATCACTGGGTGATGAGAAAGGCTGCTGGGTTTCCTAGTCCAGTGTTGGTATAGAATTAGGTGAAAAACAGGAACAGATCCTTTAGGACACCAGCAAGCCAAAGCTAGTTAAGCAGCTTGCTGAGGATGATGGGACATTTTTGCAGTTGCAAAGTCAGGGTAGACTTGGCCCACACTGGAAAGGTGCAAGCAAGCCAAGACCTGTGGGTGGGCATGCTGGGGAATCGGGTGCTCTAGACAGTAGAGGCCGGGACTATGTGGCATCCCTCTCCCCTGCAGAAAGATAATCAGACCTCCCGGGCTGGAGCTGCAAGTCCTAGGTAAAGGACTGCATTTTGGGTGTGCAACTGGAGCACAGTACCAACAAATACACACACACACACACACACACACACCACTGGTAGGAGCAAGAGAAACCACCCTGAAACCAGGAAGACCAGCTCCTTCTGCAATATCCCTCCAGTATTCTCTAGTTAATAGGCTCATTCTAAAGGAGAAGTACTTAGAGTGCAGTTCATGACCACAGTGTAGGTACTGAAGAATGAATTTAGAGGGATCTCTGGGTGGCGCGGCGGTTTGGCGCCTGCCTTTGGCCCAGGGCGCGATCCTGGAGACCT